GAAGAAAGAAATAAAGAAAGAAAGAAAGAAGAATTAAGTGGGTTCTTTTCTTAGCTTTTCTCTTCATTGTTGTTGCCTTTTTTATGGCTTTTAAAAATTTTAAATAACCAATTTTTTTTTTATTTATTAACCCGTTGTTCATTTTCTTTTGCTTTTTTTTTTCTTGATGTTGTTGCTGTTGTTATTCTTGAGCTTGTTGTTACTCTTGTTAGCCTCAAAATAAAAACAAAAATTTATAAGTTTTTTTGGTAAGCAATATGATTTACACAAATTATTTTAGTCTGTATAGTTGAGATGAATCAAACCAATAAACAATTTGTAGTGACTGTACCAGGTGATAGTGGTTGAAGATTGTTGCAGAAGTTAACAGTGATGGTGATGGTGATGGTAGTAAGAGTTGAAGTGAGTCGGTCGGACAACCAGCTGACAGTGGATACTGCTGAAGGTCGACAATATTTTTGATCGTAAATACAGAAGGTGTTATAGGTTTACAAGTCGATGATGAAAAAAATCAGAAAAAAAAAAAGAAAAGACAGAAGCAGTATTGTTATTGTTTAAAAAAAAGGTCAATGCGTTTTTTTTACAGTTTTTTCTTCAACTTTATTGTCATCGTCATTTACAACCACTACTACTAATGCTACTGATACTATTACCAGTTTTCTTTTTATTTTCTTCTTTTAGATCATGATCATTCTTGTTCCGCTTCTTCGCATCCAATTTCTATTTCTACTTATTCTTCCATTATTATTATTATTTTTATTTTTTGAAGGGGAGGACGGTGGAGGATGGAAGAAGGAAAGAAAGAGAAGATTAGAAATGTAAAAAAGTTGGTAAGAAATAGTTAAAAAATGAATATTTTTAATGTCTTGATCTTTTTTTTAACTGATATAGAAAATTGATAAATTTTTTGTATATTAATTGTCTAACCAATGCTGCGGTTGTATACCACAGCAGATTTTTGGTGTAGAATTGTATCACACTGAAAAGATGCAACTGGTACTTTTCTGTTAGCTCTTTGGTCTGATTGGGGTGCTATGTGGTTGAGGCGATGTTTGGTTGTCGTCATTAGGTTGCCAAAGAAAAGAAGAGAGTTGTTGAGTTGTTGCTGGAACATTGAGTATGAGACAAAGAGATAAATATGTAAAGGTATATATGCTATATTAGTTAAAAATTCTTACGTATCTGCTAAAGGAAACACTGCCGGCGATAGCAACAACAACGAAAACCTGTAGTTAACATCAGACAGCTTAATTGGCAATGATTAAACGTGGTGTTGCATGACTAGTCAGTACAATTTTTTTGCTCTAATAAAATTAGTAACTTTTAATTGTTGGTCAAATGATTTAAATGAAATTTTTCGAATTTTCTTTTTCTTTTTGCTTTTTCTCGCTTGTTCTCGTTTATTATAGACACCTTAATTTTTATTGGTTATATAGTATCCAAGAAAATTGGAGTAGTAATTTGCAAGAGCAGTCAAATTTTAAGAAACAAAAAGTTGCGAGCTCTAAAACTTTTTTTTCTACTTCTTTTTTCTTCAGAATAGACAGAGTTGTATGAGAGGGAGGCAGAATTATGTTAAAAATGGCATTTCTAAAGGAAAAGAAAACATTTTTATAAAATTTGGGTGCAAAAGCTCAAACGAATAGAAATAAAAAAAAAGGGTACAATGGTTTTTATTATGTTTCTTGAACTTGCTGCTTCTGTTGCTGTTTTTTCCTTCTGTTTCTGTCAAATTCTTCTTCTGGGAATTATGGTCATTAAGAAGCTTTTTTTATCACTGTTGTTGTTTTTTGCCCTTGTTATCGAACAATTCTAATGAAGTATCATACTTCTGTGCATAATTTATATCATTTTTTTAAAACAGCTTCTCAATTCTCCGGGGAGGGAGGGGGGATAGCGCTGACGAAAAACTGGATGTTTTCAGATTACTTAGCAACTCAGCATTTCTTTTTGCAAAGCCATAATGGTTCTTCGTCTTCGGTTGTTCGTGTAGGTCGCAAAAAAAAATATTTTTTTTCTCGGTTTCAAGTGCAAAAAAAAGGCGAAAAAAAAGCAGTGAGCAAAAAGTAAACTTGAAGGAAATTAGGGAACAAAAAGAAAAGCTTCTCTTTCTTTGTCCTACAAAATTTTATTTTGTTTCTGTTTTTTTTTTATTTGGTCTTTAATTGGAGCGTCTTCTTTTTCGCCATTATTGTTTCTGTTTATGCAAATCATTATCGAATTGGCATTAAGACGGATTGTTGATTGTTGACAATCCGAAACTTTTCCACGGCTTTAAAGTTTGTTATAGTTTTCCTCATTTTTTTTCTTTTTCTTTATCTTCCTTATCTTCTTCACTTTCTTTTTCTTCTTATTTTTCTTCTTCCTCAGCAACCAAAACCAGATGCTACACTTACAGCTCCTTCTTTGCCTTTTCTTCCTTCACCTCAATCCTCATTTCACAGCATATTTATCAAGCACTGCGTCTTTTTGCTTTATTTCACGCAATACATTTAAAAAAATGGCACGGTTATCTATTCATCTTTGTCGTTTGTTCTACAATAACGGTTCCGTAAAAGGTTTTATTGTTGTTCGAGCAGTCTAGACTTCAGGGTTAAATTCGGATACTTGAGCGTCTTGAAATAAGCAGATGAAGCGAAAACGATGACATTGTAATGGGTGTATGAGGTGGATTTGGTCATGCCGTTTTTTAATTTTTTGACTAACGAGCTGAAAAGAAACTGTTGGATAAAATCACAGTGATTTTTTTGGTTGTTAATTTTTCTAAAATTTATTACCTGTGCACTCCATTTTAAGTGCGTTATTTTTCTTGAACTTAACAGTTGAAGTCTTTATTGGAATTATTAAACGTTTTTTTAAAGAGTAACATTATCACTATAGATTGTTTTACAAGTTGTTTTTTTTCTAATCTTTAAAGCGTTAAAGTTTTGCTCATATACTGAATCTAGCAGTTGAATGTCGTCATTGATGTTGGCTTGAATACAGATAAAATAATAGATTGAAAATTGAGTCATAAAAAGCTCTTTTGTAGTTTAAATGGAACATTATAATGGGTTTGCAGCAATGATTTGATGACATCGTTGCCAATGTTGTTGTTATCACAGTTATTATTACTGTTATTATTATCAATATTATTATTATTACCTTAAATCTTTTATTTTATAAGGTGAATTGTTTCAGAACAGAAAACACAGTCTGGTTTGTTGGACTCTTTGTACACGGTTGTTTCTGTTGCTATCATTGCTGCTGTAGGCCGTTGCCGTTGCCGTTGCCGTTGTCGTTGTCGTTGTCGTTGTCGTCGTTACCGGTGCCATTACCATTGCTGTCATTGTTACGCTTTCGCCATATAATTTTATCCTGATCTGGATCCGTGGTATTGCGAATTCGTCTGTCTGATTAGAAGAAACAAGAAACTGTTCTGACTGTTTCTTCTTTCTGCTTTATTTTTTATTCTTTTTTTTTTTTTGCTTTTTTTTTTTTAAATGAACCTGAAATGACGAACCAACAGAGTCAACAGTTAAAATGTATGGCGTTAAAAAGTTTAAACTTCGCCATATTTATTCATATTTTTTAACAATACTGTTGTTGATACTGATTTATGAATATTATTCCTGGAATGTTAATACGGTGATGTTACCGACAATTATTGTGATTACACCAACTTATTCACGTCCGGAACGAATAGCTGATATGACTAGGTTGGTTGAGGTTCACATCTATATTCTCTGGAATATTTAGCTGAATTTTTTGCAACAGTAAACAACGTATCATTGTATTGTCAAAGAGTAATCTAAAGTTAACAGTAGAAGCTGCAACTTTGTTCTAATTGTTTTTGTTTTTTTTAGCTTTTTTTGAAACAGAAAAACAAATTTGTTTTTATTTTTCATTTTTTCACTTTTCTGGAGAACAACCGTCATTCAATTTTGGTAAAAAGTATTAATTTTTGTTGTAGTTACAGTATTTTTTGTTTAAGATATTAAAATAGCTTTGCGCCAAGTTTTGTTAAAAATGTCAACAGTGACGCCAAAAAATAAATTTATGTATAAATATAAATAAATTAAAATTAAAAAAAAGCATAAGGTAAGGAAAATGTAACTTAAATAAAGGTGTTGTTAAAATTTGCTTACTGCTTTAGATTTTCTCAAACTTTAATGCATATTAAAAATTTGCATTGGATTGTCATCGAGGACGGCAACAAAACAGTTGATGCTGTTAAAAGGTTATTGGCAAGAACGGGACTAATTCATACATATTTTTATACAACAACTGAGTACAAATTTCCAAGTTGGTTTCGCTTCTTCTTCTTTTTTTTGATTATTTCTTCGTTAAGTTCCATTAACAATGCTGATAGCTTTTTTTCAAAAGTTGAAAGCTTTTTGTTGTTGCTGTTTGCAAAATCTGTTGTCTAACATCTGCCAAAAAAGTACATTTAGCCTAGTAAAAAAAAATTTCTAATTGAATATCAACATTTTTTTTTCTCATCTACATTTCCGGTCTTGTTTTTTTTTTCCAATTTTTACCTGCTTTTTTTCTGCTCGTTTTTTTATTCTTTTTCACAATGTTTTCGTTTTTTTTGAACTTTGCTATTGTTTTCGAAATCTCAAAGTAAAAACTTATTAAGTTAACGTTTCTTTCGCAAAAATTTTATTAACGAAACAATTTTCTGGTAAAAAAGACTGGTGAAAAATTCGATTGAATTGAAAATAAATTTGGTCAATAACAGAAAATAATTTTTTATAATTTCAAATTTTTTTTTGATTTTGCGAAGAGAAGATAAAAATTACTAAAGGTATCATAGTAAAATCTGTATATATAACCAGGCTAAGATAAGGCTTTTAAACAAACGCTAAATGAAATTCTACTCTTTCGTCATTTTCCAACAATTTTTACCAATTTCCGTTTAGTGTTTAGTGCGTCATTCGTTGTTTTTGCATTTCCTGGTCCGATTTTTCATTCAATTTTATGTCGTAGAAATGTTGTTGAAGCTGATTTACTATTTATTGTAAAACAAAAATAGACAAAACAAAGATGATTCTCTGTTATATTACCGCAGTTGTAATGTCATCTGAATTTCTAGAGGAAAAAAGTGGCAATGACAATAGTCTGTTAGAAATTTACTGTCATTAAGTGGTAAAAATTCTGACAAATTCTAAACAGTGGTAGAATAAAGAAAGCTTTGTACAATATAATTAGTGCCTTCTATCGTATTCAACAAACAATATAATATTTTTAAATTTGTTCTTGAGCATTTCATATTTTGAGCTTATATGTTTATTCTTTTTCTTGTCATTTTTCTTTTATTCGTTCACTTTTTGTTTTTTTTTTCTTCTTTTTTTTTAGGACGGGGATGGTCACATCGGAATGCAGCACTGATGTATATAAGAAAAAATTATGCTTCGTATCGTAGGCCTGGAGTTGTTTTTTTTGCTGATGACGATAATTCTTACGATATTCGGTTATTTAACGACTATATTCGTAATGTTAAAACAATTGGCTTTTGGGCTGTCGGTAATTGTTAGTTGTGATTATTTGTTCCGTAGAATGATAAATTGGTGAAAAATTGCTTATTAACGATATACGTAGCATGCCGTGTAAACAATAACAGTATGTATTTTTTGGTTTTTTTTTTTTGTAAGATTTTGCATTATTTTGAAGGAAGAGAAAGGAAGAAAAAGCGAAAAAAAAACAGAACAGTTCTAATGCAGTTGACGTTTTTAGGCTTTAACTGAAAAAATCTGTAAGAGGTTCTTTGGGGAAACTACACTTAGAAAAAAATAGTAACAACCTCTAGTAATTTGACTGTTTTCTGCTTTTCAATATTTTTTCTTCAATTTAATATCAAAAATAAAAGAATTTTTTTGTTTTTGAACAGCAAAAATAAATGGTTCTACGCGAAAACAAATTAAAGACCTAAGAAAATAAATTAAGAAGAATTATTTCTGAAGTTAAAAGAGGAAAGAAAAGTATTAATTTTTTTTTTTTTTTTTTTTT